CAAACATGATATCCCTCTCCAAGAACTGGTCCCTCCTTGCAACATGCCCAAAGTATGTCAGATGAAGCTTCAGAATCTTTGCCTCCAAGGAGCAGCCAGGTTTCACCCTCTCCAGGACAAACCTGTTTGTTCTCCTAGCAGTCCATGGTACATTCAACACTCTTCTCCAGCACCACAGCTCAAAGGCATCAATTCTCTATCATCCCTAGTCACTGTCCAGCTCTCTGACACAAAGCACACAACTGCAAAGACTATGGCCAAGATCAGGCACACCTTAGTTTCCAGCCTGATTGATGCTGTTACTCTTCAGCAGTTTGGAGTGGTCCCTGACAGGTGACTTTCCCAAAGTAATTTGTTTCCTGATTTCCTGGCTGCTGATACCAAGATTGTTGACTGTGGAGCCAAGCAAACTAAAATTGTTAACTATCTCAATCTCTTCACCATCCATAATGATGCTGCCAACTGGCCCAGTAGTGAGAATCTTTGTTTCCTTGATGTTGAGCTATTATCCCATGAATTAATCACCCACATTCTTAAAGCAGATAAAAAATTTTAAATCATTTTTATACCTGTATTAAGAAAAATCCAAATCTGCTCCAGACTGGATTACTCCAGATTAAATTAGCTACAGATTAGAATTCTTAAGCCTATCTTTCTCTGCCATATTTTTGTAGCACGGTTGCAACTACACTCCAATCTATTCAGCCTTCTTTCCTTAAATCTACTGTTCCTCTCTAAGCCAGATATCCCTCTTGTTTTTTAGTCACTGAAACACAAACACATAAATTTATTCACAATATCCATATGACCACCATATGGTTGGTTACAACTCATAGCCACCCTCCATCCAGTTTCTGAGCCAGTAAATCTTTAGGAGAGGAGAATGTCCATCTTTCTCCCAGGAGGCAGCTAGTGGACACAACTGCTGACCCCTCAAGTAGCAGCCCAATATGTTACAAGGTAGGCCACCATGACTCCTTACAATACCCACATTATTGTTGCTGCCAAGGGCCTCAAGTCAGGATCCAACTCACAGTTGACTTCCAGTGGATTTTCAGAGGCTATAAATGCCACAGGAAGAGACTGCTCATCTTTCTACCTTGAAGCAGCTGATGGATTTGAACCACCTGCCTTTGAGTTGGTAGCACAACTCCTTACCACTACTAAGCCACCAGGGTTCTTCACAAATCCACATAGCACTCAGCAATTTTAGTGCCCCCGTACTATTATTAATAGTACACATTACTCTATAGTAGACACTCAACAGATATTTATTAAGCATTTAAGAATCAAGCTGTTCTAAGTCTCCCCAGAGATTAAACAGTCTCAGCTCTAGAGCGGTTTATAATCTAATTACCATTCACAAAACTGAAGAGATAAAAATTTCCATAAGGAAATACAAGATTTAGCAGTACAGAATCTGCAAGTGGATGCGGTCCTTATTCAAAGTTAATAAAACTCAAGAGGGGGAGTTACTTATAAAAAATCACTGTCATCCAGCCCATTCTGACTCATACTAACTTAGAGGACAGAGCAGAACTGTCCATCAAGTTCTTAATGCTATAAATCCTTACTGGAACAGAATACCTTACCTTCCTCTCATGGAACGGATGACTGGTTCAAACTACCAACCTTTTGGTTAGATGTCAAATTATTTATCCTAGACTTCAGGCAGGGAATAAGACCTTTCTATTCTCTCAAGTTCAATCCCTTATGCAGTAAAGCATCAATATTTTATTACTTTATCCTAATATAAGAATAGCACACTTTTTCTTAATACATCACCAACCTATTAGCGAGTTAAGAGTGCTTACTTTCTTATGTTGTTGTTGTTTGGTGCCACTTAGTCTACTATAACTCACAGCGACCGTATGAACAACATACCAAACCTTGCCCTATCCTGCATCACCTTCATGAGCTCCACCATGCCTAAACCCATTATTATAGCCACTGTGTCAATCCAAATTATTGAGGGTCTTCCTCTCTTTTGATTATCATCTACCTTTTCCAGCATCATATATTTTTCCAAAGACTTCCTTATAACCTCCAAATGTCTACTAACTGCAATTTAAACCTCCTCCACATCAACTATATCGAAATACCCTCAGAATGCTTTACCATTTCTTCAACCTGCCAGAAAATTATCACCATCTTCCTCTCACTCTGCCCTTCATTCTCCCCCTTCGATCACATATCCCTAATCCTCCCCAAATAAGAAACAATTATGTCCACATCAATAGTTCCTGAAAACAAGAATCTGGAAAGAATATTTAAGGGTCACTTGAACCTACTCCTATATTCCCCACTAAAATGGATTGTTTTCTACACAAAAATGTTAAAGAATATTGCAGTCAACCTGGTAACTAATTCCCAGATGAGCCATCATTTTCAAGTAATTCTCCTTTTTCTCTAGCCAGCAACCAAGACAAATGTTTCCTACAATATGAGCATTCTTACAGCTTCATCCAAACTTCCCTTTACCATCTAACCCATTTTTTCCAGTCTGATTAAATGATCTCCTTACTTCAGGAAAGCCTCCCTACTCGTAAGTCCTCATATAACATACTGGTAAAGTTAAGCGATGCAGCCTAAGGTTTCTGAAATCCAGGCATAGCATTATATTTAAAGACATAAAAGCATCAAATAAAAAAACAAAAATAACTATCAAAGTTTGGAAAGGGAAAGGAGAAATCATATGATGTTGGTGCCTTAAAATCCTCTTTATGTATAGTAAGGGGGCAAAAAAATGATATCATTTTGTGCATATTACCTGGAGACCTGGAGGATAAGAAGTGCAAAAATCAATGCCTCTGGAAAATGGGACTGCAAGGTACAAATGGAACAAAGACCAGCACTATTCATTGTAAGATCCTTCAGGACAATTTTATTTTTTAGATCTTATAAGCATTGTTTCATAACTTCAAAGAGGTAAAAACAAATACTGACACATTATTCTTAAATTCATTAAATTTACAAAATTAAAAGAACTGACATTATTCAGTGTCACTGAAGGGAAATAAAAAGAGGCCTTCTCATATTGGAGATAACAATAAAAATGGATATGAAAGTATTCTGTAATGAAATAAAACCCTAAAAAAGACTCCACAGATCTAAACGTGCCGATTTAGAAAGTTTTCCAAACATTTTATAAAAATCCTAGGTTATTTCTTTAAGAATATTTTAATAAAAGAAAACCTCTCTTCATTCTAATGTTATATTATCAATCACCTTTAGATATTTGCTAAGTGCATGAATGACTAATGTCCCTTTCCCTCTCCCAAATCTTTCCATCTTCCCTATTAATCTCTCTGCCCTCTACTTTCATTTTTTTAAAAATTTTCTATTCAACGGGCTCATTACTCTCCTCAGTTGAAAAAAAATTACAGTGTAATGTGTATCAAGTATCTCCTATTAGCATGTGAACATAAGAAGGGTTTAGGCCAGAGGTCCCTCCTGGAATTCTGTCCATTATGACCTCTAGATAGCCTGGCTCATTTTCCTGATAATGAGGATGATAATCTTGCCTCTAAACTGGCTCTAGAATCATCTAGTCTCTTCAGGTACTCCTCAACCTAATCAACGTTAGTCCTGACATCCTGGCAACCTAAGAACAAAACAGACATTCTAGGTAGTCCAATCTGCAGGCCCACACTTGCTTGCTGATGTCTTATTCTCTTCAACACCACCATGCCTCCATGAGAGAGTGCATCAAAAACTGTGTGTGACAAAAGATCTCCCCTCCACTCTGGAGTTATGGAACCAATCTGGCCAATCAGACTAACTTTAGCTATGAATGAAGACTCAAAAAAACAAAAACCAGATAGCAGATACGGATCCTGGCTGACTAAGGTGGTACCAGCTCCACTGCCCTCTGAAGAAGAAAAGCACCAGGCCAAGTCCTTTCCATTCGACCATGTGACACGATAGTGTTCACCTGTTCTCTGGTATGCAATTACTTCAAATTTGCGAAAATCTCCACTCCCTGACCTAGAGAATCCTTGTGGCACCAGGCCTGCTCAGAGTCTCTTTCAGAGGTGCTCATATTCCCTGATAGAGGTCTAAAATGTCTGACATCAAACTACATGCTATGGTCTAATTCTTAGTGACCCCAACCAGAGTTTGGACCCACACTTACCAGATGTCATCTACAGAAGAGCTCAGACAGTTTCGGAACTATGTCATCCTGGTCCATCTGGAATAACTCTTTAGTCCTTGGGCCAACATTTACTAATTATATCACATCTGTCTAGTCTATCACGCTTTTCCTTCATCGTCTCTAATACTGAGCAGTCTCTTTTGCTTCAAACGCTATCTTTTCTATCCACATGAACTCCTTCTCCCGTCTTTTCTCTGCTCAGAAAACGCTTCAGTCCCTTCCATAAAGAAATACCTAATGTAAACTGCACAATAAACATCCCCCAGAATCCTCAAGACTCCTCCACCCCCCTGCATTCCTCCACCTATCCGGCATCTCTCCCTCTGGCCTCTCTCCCTGTTCTCACTCCTACTATGTTGCCTGCAAGAATTCTCTTTTCTCCAACGCCTGCCCTTCCCTTCTCCCAAAGAGCACACTCAGGCAGCAACACTGACTGAGGCCTGCGGTGCATAAAGCACTGCACCAGGCACGGTGGACAGAGTCGTGGTGTCTCTCTAGCCTTTTCACACCCACACCCAGCACCCTCCGGCTTCCCCATGCAAACATCCTACCCTCTTCCCTACCTCTGACATTTCCTTCGGGCCTCGAAGGCCGCCTCCTCTCCTCCACCACCCTCGTCATTATTCCTCTCCAACCCCCCAACCCACCACCCGCGCCCTGCTTCCTCCCGTCCCACAGTCAGCCCCTGCGTTCCACTCGGCCTCGGCCGGTCCCCGGGCCACCCCTGGCCTCGCCTCGGCTCGCTCCCCCCCGGGGTCAGGCCGTTACCACAGCGCGCTCCCCCCGCGCGCCGCCCCCCCTCCGCCCTCCCCCGGGCCCGGGCCTGCCAGGCCAAGCGCTTTACCGCGGGCGGGCGCCGAGTCGCGCGGTCACCGACTGCAGGCGGCGACAGCTCCAACCTTCCAGGGGGCCTGGAGAGGAGGGGAAGGGGGGAGGGGGAAGAACTTTTGCGGTGGCAGCTTCAGCAACAGCTCCCACCCCTGCGCCTTTCTCCTCTTCCTCCCCCTCCTCCTCCTCTTCCTCCTTCTCTTCCTCCTCCCAGAACAGTAGAGACGCAGACATGCCACGGCTAGAGCGCCGCCGCGGTAGCCGACACTGCCGGCGCGGTGCATTGTGGGAAGTCCCGCACACGGGAAGCGCTCTGCGGCGCAGTCCCTCGCTTGGCCCGGGGACTTGGCGGGCGAAACCAAGCGTGGCTTCTTTTCTCTGGCGCCTGCATGTCACCGCCCCAGCGTGGCCGAGAAAGCTGGCCCCAAGCTGCGAGGCCATCAAACCAAACCAAAGAGGAAGGCGCTTTGAAAGTGGAGTTGAGGGAAGCTCTTTGAGAGGAGTCCCCGCTTCAGCCTTAGTGCCTAGCGCCCCAAGAATTGGAGGACTCGCGAATCAAGAGCGTTTCCCAGGGAAATGGAAAGAACCAGGACATAGGTGTAAGGTTGTCCGCCAGAATTCCTTGGCTTTTTCGTTTACTGTTCATACCCAGACCTCTTCCATCCATGGTTGTTGACCTCTTCCTCCTGTAATGCCACCTTTTTTGGATGCGGCAGCCCTTCCTTCGCCCTTTAACCTTGCGAGCTTATTTAGTGTCTACAAACGTGCGTGCTGTGAGCACGGAGGACAAGCACAGTGTCTGGCCCTGGACCCCGCATTGCATTTGTTTCCCCGTTCACATCACCCATGGTCCAAACCTAAGACTATATAGAGCTAGAATTGCACAGCTATGTATCATTCCTAGGGGCTCCGTTAAGTGACTTTTAGCCAAATTGTGACCTTCATAAAGGAGGCGATGTCATCAAGTGGAAGAGACTCATGACTGACCTTCTAGCGAGTTTTCAGAAGGTTGTAAATTCCTCAAGAGAAGATTGCCCATCTTTCTTCTGAGGAGCGGCTGATGGATTTGAACCTCCAGGGAGCTCCACCTTCGAGTTAGCAGTGCAACTCGCGACAGATTACGCCACTACAACTTCCCTAAAGGGCAGAGTTGTTGTTATTGCTTACCATCCAGTCTGAACTGACCCGTAGCTGACCTGATGGTCTTGTGGGTTTTCAGAGGAAGTTAACCCCACTGGAGGACATTGCTCGTTCTTCTCCCGCGCAGCGGCTGATGGATTCGAACTGTGTGTCTTCGGAATTACAGCGCAGCTTCTTGCCTCTAGGCCACCAGTACTTCCTCAAGGGTAGAATAGAACTGCCCTAATAGAGTCTCCTAGATTGTAATCGTTATGGAAGGGAACTGACACAATTTTCTCTCTCAGTACAGCTGGCCAGTTCTGTTTTGGTAGCTTAACGACAGGCACCACTATCAGAACATTTTAATGACTTTACTACCCCAAAGTGATGGAACCCTCAATTACAACTCCTAATGGAGGGACGGCGCAGGAGAGGAAGGCCCTCTATGAGGTGGATTGATTCAGTGACTGGGATAATTGGGATGGGAGTGTCAGAGACAGTGCGATTGGCACAGGACAGAGCGGAGTTTAGGGCTGTTGTACATAGGGTCGCTATGAGTCGCAAACGACTCGACGACACATAACAACAACAACAACAATGGCCTTCCATTTGGGTTTCTGGGGCTTAAATGTGGGCTTGATGAGATGCCTCTTTCTCCCTCAGCCAATGAGTTGGACCTTCCTACCTTTCTGAGTTAGCAGTCCAGCATTTAACCTACTTCAACCCCATGGTTCCTCATAAAACTCACTGCTGTCAAGTTGCTTCTGTTCTGGCTCATAGTGACCATGTATCGATTTTCCCCGGCTGAAGGGAAAATCCTAGTGGGAGGAGTTTGTCCATCCTTCTCCCACCAGAGCTGCTGGTGGATTAGAACCAGTGGAGGCACTAGGCCTTTAGGTTAGTAACACATACGAGACTAAAACTACCAGAACTCTGATTACTCAATATGAGACCTTAATGATGCCCTCATTCAACTGACATTTATTAAGCACCCTGAGGTGCTTGTGCATACTGTTAAGGTTTATAATTACTCATCTTCAAGTCCTAGCCCAAGGGCAAGGTCAGCCACACAACATGAAAGATGCTCAGTGAATGTCAAATGATTGTAAACATGAGGAACTTACCATGGGAATGAGATAAAGCACCTTCATTAGGATTGCTCCATAGTAATCTGTAGATTTTATTTAGTGCCTCTCTAATGCTTAAAACAACCTTTAAGGGGAAGGGCTATCTGTATGACCATTTCTGGAATTCTCTTGCCCACACCTACCTTGCCAACTGAACATTCATTTGAATAGTACTTTTTGGCAAAACTCCAAATTCCAGCATTATGCACTTGTGATGGCGCTGAATTAGATTAATGTCTGCAAGGTTAATGTTCCCCCAGGCATTCACTTTAGTAAATCGTGATGCCTATTTAGAAATAGCTGAGGCCCAGGAGTTTGGCTTAATTTAGACACAGGTAACTAAGAAGAACAAGGATGTGCCACAGCTCTATAATCAACTCTCCGTGTGCTTTCTCCACTAAAAAAAATATAAATTTTAATAAGATGACAATGCATATTCTGAATGCTGTTTGCCATAAAACAGTGATACAAGCTAAAGCAAGGGACGGATATCTGGAGGACAGCCTTCTGGCAACTTCTGACATCTGCAATGGCATCAAATTCAGATGTAAAAAAAATATCGCTAACAATAAGAAGCAAACTCTTGAGTATTGGAAAATGGGTAAAATAATAATAGAAAGGGCTCTTGAATGATTTGCTATTAGAAATGCATGTAGTGCTCTTTTCAGCACCATAACTATGAAGCAATACAGAAATAATTAAAATAAGCTGAAGAAATATTGGGATAGCTATTGAGGTGGTGATAGTAAAAGTGATGGTGGAAAGTAAAATTTCTGAAGATAATTCTCAGCTCCGGTTCGGTTGTCCATGTTCCCCTTCTCCCCCTTGAATCCCATGTACACTGCACTCTAAAGGTTTCATCTTAAAAAGTAAAGACAAAGTTAGATAGCAATGTCAAACCAGAAAATGTACATTGATGGATACATTACTCTTAACTAAACTGTAAAACTTACTCAGTTTTCATTTTTTTAAAGGTAAAAAAGATAGATTTATTAGAAAGTGATACCCTAAAGGGTGGACCTCCCTCCTTGAAAAGAATGGAGGAGAGCTTCACCATTTTAAAAGCTACTTTCATTTGTGTTCAATTTTATGCCATGTCTAGATTCATGGGAACACCACTACAAACAAGATTAAACAAACTGTTTCTTCACCACAAAAAAAGAACATCCTCATGCTACCTCTGTATTTTTCAAACTGCCTCGCATCTCAGTTCCCTTTGTGGTGGTTAGGTGCTACCATGTGGACTCTGACTCATTGCTGTCTTAAGTACAACAAGGAAACCTGCCTGGTCTGCACCACGTCCTCACAGTCCGCAACATGGCAGGATTGTTGCAGCCACGTCTGAATCCATGTTTTGAATGTACTTCCACTGTTTCGCTGACATTTCAAGAAAGTTGTGTAAATAGATACAACATAAAATCATTTTAAATTGGTGTTTTTCACTAGCATAGTGACTATTTCTGTTGTTAGGTGCCGCCAAGTCAAGTATGACTCCTAGAGACGCTATGAACAGCTGACCTGAACCCTGTCCTATTCTGTGCTGTCCTCATCATCTCTAACACTAGAACCATTGCTGAAATCACCATGTCAGTTCAACTCGTTAGGGGGTCTTCGCTGACCTTCCGTCTTTCCAAGTATGGTGTTTCATTCCAAGGAGAGCCTCACCGAGCTACATGTCCAAAGTATGAAAGACAAAGTTTCACCATCTTTGCTTCCAACAAGCACTCTGGCTGCACTCTTCCCAAGATATATCTGTTCTTTTGGCAGTCCAAGGGATGTTAAGCACTCTTCTCCAAAACCATAACTCAAGGACATCAATTTTTCTTCTACCATCCTTATTTGTTGTCCATCTCTGAGATGCATAGCAGGTGATTGAAAAGATCATGGCCTAAATCATGAATCAGGTGCACCTTAATCTTCAAATTTACATCATTGCTCCTCAGCATTCTGGAGAGATCCTTAACAGGCAGACTTGCCCAATGCAGTACGTCTCCTGATCTCCTGAATGCTGGTACCAAGGATGTTAATTATTGATCTAAGCAATATTACATTATTGATAGCTTCAATCCTTTCTCCGTGTATCATAATGTTGATCCTGTAGTGAAGACTTGTTTTCTTGATGTTCAAATGCAATCCATAACAAAGACTGTATGTAGTCCTTGATTTTCTACAGCAAGCATTTCATACCATCTTCACTTTCAGCCATCAAAGTTGTATCATTTGCATAACACAGGTTGTTGTCAATTCTAAATCATGATGACCCTTCATCCAATGTCCAAGGTTGTGAAACTTTATGAGGGGAGATTGCTCATTTTCCTCTAATGGGGCAGCTGATGATTTCAAATTACTAACCTTGTGGTTAATCATCTAATGCATGACACACTAAGCATAATACCCTTGTAGTCTATCCATGCTGGTACAGTATCAAAGTTTATACCTTTTTATTGCCAAGGAGTATTCCACTGTATGGATGTAATAGTGTGTGTTCATTCACCAAAAGACATTTAAGTTGTTTCTAGTTTTTTGCTGTTATGAGTAAAATTACTATGGACATTTGTGTACAGGTTTTAGTATTCTCATAAGTTTTTGCTTTTCTGGGAAAAGTGTACAAAGATGAGTTGTATAGGAAGTGCATATTTTTCAAGAAACTGCCAGACAATTACACATGGTGGCTGTGTTCCTTCATATTCCTCTCGGATCATTATGGAAAAATACTGTTTCTCAGCCTCACCATTTTGGTATTATCACTTTTTTTTATTTTAGCAGTTTTAATATGTATGTAATGACAATGGGAGAATCACTGGTGGCAAAGAGGTTAAATGCTAGGC